TTTTCGGCAATGTTTGAACTAAACGCTGATAGTACAACTGTCTAAGAGTACAATGTTCTTGTTAATTTGTTTTAATAGATTTCATTTATATTATATTAAAATTGTTATTTTGGCAAGTGATCAGTATACACTCTATGGGTTTCGATAACCTGTATTATATTAGCGCACTTGTGTGCCTATCATTCCGTTAGCTCTGGCTAATAGGGTTTACTTTTCCAAGTACAAGTATGTCCATCAATTTATTTATTTTTGATACTTATGCTTTTCCGTACAATCCAGTTCTTCGACTTGCTGATAGCTGGGAGGCGAGTATTGACGTAACTTCTTGCGTCGAAAGAAGCGAAATAAAAAATGATGCTAACTTTCGAACACGCAATCCGGGAGGCATGTGCGTAGAAAGCATTTGGGCCCTCCTGTGTGAGCGAGGGTGCTAGGAGAGCCTTGGGGTCGCGCGCTGCGGCGGGCGTTCATCTTGGGCGGCCGCGAGGGTGGCCGCAGAGGGCGTTTTCATCGCCCTCATCACTGACCTCGCGCCCTCCCCCCGCGGCGTGCCACCGCAACACCGCTCGCTTCAATACGTTATATAGAGCGCGAGACAATAGATAACGCCAATAAATCGAGGGCTCCCGGCTGTAATTTTGGCGCGGTTCCTGGCGCCCTGCGAAGGCGCCAGCGCTGCTGGCGCCCCTCCGCTGACCCTCCCCCCTCCCCTCGCCATCGCTTCACCCTCCCTTCCCATTCTTCTTCGCTCCTCCCACTCCACGCCCTTTCTTCGCCCTCCTACTTCTCTTCTTCTCTTCCACCGCACACCAAGTCCCGCAGCCCATTCTCTCCCTCTGCCATCTCAACCTCCCTCTTCGCCCCTTTCCTACCTCTCGTACTCCGTTCTTTCCCCTCTGCCCCTGTTCCGTTCTCCGCCATCGCGCCATCCCCCCCCCCCCCCCACACACACACAAACCTCCGCTCATGCTCATCAATATCTGCTTTCCGCATGTTCTCCTACCAGTGTTCCTCCGTGATCTTTTTTTCATCTCTCTCTCCTCCTCTTCCATCTCCGCCTTTCTCTCCGTTTTCGCTTCGTCCCTGATGCCTCTCATCTCGCCTAAATAATTACTTCCGCCTCCGTTGTTGAATTGCTATAATTAAAAATGTTTTAATTGATCCTATCTTGTAATCTAGATTCATCTCTGAATGTACGGTTTCATCAGAATTACTTTGGCATACGCAGAAACCTATCGGCGCAAAATGAGATTGATATTACCTACAGCAGTTTTTAAAGTAAAATTTCCTTCCGAGATTCTCAGTAATGTCAATATTCTGTTAAAATATTGTGCACATTTTAAGTGTTTGCGATGTATGTACATCCTTTACATGGTAACACTGTTTCTTTCTTGTTATAATAAGAATTTCCTGTGTATCATACATACACAAAATGACATTTATGCAAGCGCTTGAGCTCTCGTAAGAGCTCTGAGTGTATGCCATGAAATATTATTTTTGGGCATGATGATCCAAGTTTTGAGAAATGGATAGACATTTCTAAAGCAGGTGCGCAATTTTGTTAGAACTCGTATTCAGTACTCCGATTCAGTTGTTGGAGATTTTATTTTTGCAAATTTGGGCGATAAATGTGGATGATATTTTTATAGTTCCTGTTAATTGAAATGCAACAAATAACCAGAATACATCCCGGGAATTTTCATGATATATTCAGAGAATATTTTAAAAAATCGTCATAAATAACTGGAATCCAATTATGACTGCATAACAATATTTACATCGCAGTGGACGGTCATCAGGGAAAAGTTTATTTTATTCCATGCTGCAATCGGCGGATTAAAGAGAGATGTGAAGACTGGACGAGAGATGAGAGGGGAAAATGCTGTTTATTTTTTGTGATGGTTAGATGGAAGATGGACAATAGAATGAGCTCAAGCGAGAGCTGGGGAATGAAGGGGGGGGGGGTAAGTGAACCTTCCGCGCGCTGTTTCCAGGAAACTCTGAGTCATTCTCTGCAGCCTCTGGGATGTCGCATGACGTTTCGCTGTTGCTCTCGCGGACAGCGAGCGTTCCTCCATTGTTGGAGCACACGTTTTCTCTTGGCGACGACGACGCGTTTTCTGTGGTATCTCGTGGACTTTTGCGAGTTTAAATCTTGTCAACTGCTGATACACAATCAGTTCACTCACAAAAAATGTTTGTGTGTTAAAACATCGTTGTTACTGGGAACTACGAATAGATACTTGGTCTTCCTGCTTACGCAAATCGAAAGAGTACGAGTAAGCTCAATATCGCTCCGTTGACAGGAATGACAGGAACATTGGTGAATTCAAAAAAAACAAAAAGAAACAAAAAAAAAAAAAACACCAAATTCAGAAGTGCCAGTTTTCTCCAAAGACAACTGTGTCGTCGGTAAATATGAGGGTGACATTCTCTCTGGTTTTAAAGTATGAAGGCTATAGTTGTATCAGTTTTTCACATAAATAGATTGCTTTTTTGTGTCATTTTCACGCTTTATCTTAAAAGTGGTTACTTTTTACTTGTCACTTTTCTATCAACTGAGCTGTAAGGTGGCACTGTCGTCGAGAATGTTGACCGCCGGATGACTGGAATATAAGGAATTACAGAATATTACACTTCTTCAGTAATTCTACCAAGTTCTTCAATAGCAGCTTCGAATCTTATAGTGTCCGATCACTCAGAGCCACGTATTCTAAACTGTGTCTCCCGTTTTTCTTTTTATCTAATTTTTTCCTTTTAAATTTCAACTTTCTCATTCACTTTGCTACAGCTCTTAATTGCTACAGAAGTAATATTTCTTCAGTCTGCGATTCATGAAATCGAAATTTCACCTTTCCTCTACCTCATTCTTAAAAAAAGGTACTTTACAGCTGTTAATTTCACTATAGCATTCTCATTCATTTTTATCATTAAATAGTTAATTTTCAGGACCACCGTACTCTATCTTCTGATATTCGTCTTAAGCTCTGTGTGTCCTCATTCACGTCTTTGCTATTGACCTCTGGTTCAAACCTGTCTGTGTACACGTTAGCTTCCTTCTAAATTTTTTTTCTGCTCTCATTTCTCTCTGAGACCCCTCTGCGTGAAATACATGCTGAGCGATGAGCCCTCTTCCTTCTGTTCCTCCTGCGCCGGGTCAGCGGAGCTGGGGAGCGCGTATCTGGACGAGCCGCCGCGAGGGCAAAAACGTGTCGGCGGTCAGCGGGATGCTCACCGAACCAGACTTATCACCCGGGACCTTTTCCCCCTCCCACCCCCTCCGTCGCGTGACGTCTTTGTTTTTATTTCATTTTTCTTCCTCCCCGGCCTCTTCCTGGAGCTGAACGTTTTTAGGATCGTTGTTTTTTTTCTCTCGCCCCGTCCTCCTACCCGGAGAAAGTGGGGTAGATTGTGGACGTAAGAGTAGATATCTATATTTCGTCGAAATTGCACAATGATCTTTTTGTGAGTGTGTGCGTCTCGGCGACCGCGGGCCGGGAAAAACTTCCCCCTACAATCCCGGACGCATCATCTCGTAGTTTTTGCGCGGGCTGTGGAGGAAATAACAGCAGCCCATACGTCATGTGCGTGTGTTTGAAGGCGCAAGAGGGTGCTCCTTTGACGTTCGAAGGGGTATGTTTCTGCTCTTTGCTCCTGGTTATTTTAGACCGGCGAACTGAAAGAATATCGTCTGTGTATGTCGTTACTTCAGGTTTATGGGTTATTTCAAAGTCTACAGAAATCCGAGAAGTGGTGAAAGCTGTTGCTACAACTTGAGTCGTTTTGAAACTTTTGTGCTTTTTGTAAAATCTTGTGAAATTTTGTGCTTTTTGTGAAATCTTTGGTGCTTTTTTAAAATATAGTAGGGTGAAAGGGGCCCTATTAAATGTTATTGCCGACTGTTGAAATATGGTAGAAAGAAGATTGATCTGCTTGGAATCTTAATTTTGGGCTTCAACATTTGGCTTGTTTAGATCCCAATCTTTCATGAATTGAAATTCATTAGTTGAATATAGAATTAATATCGTTAGAATGATACGTGCAATATGTGTTATGGATCTTAAATAAATTAAATGGCATAAATTAGACTAGCCTGAAAATGCATTTTGTTTATGTAATTAGACAGTAGTAAGAAACAATCATTAATGCAAACTCCAGGATACAAAATCTCAATTGTTCTCGTGTTAATAATGATCAGTAAAAATACTTACAGTTGATAAAATTTACGAACAGAGATAACTCTTTCAACCAACGAAACCGCACATCAGCACTTCACAATCGTGACTTTGCGGTGACTTCGTGATCGGGAGGTCCAGGTTCGATTCCCGAGCCGGCCATCCTGACCGGTGTTTTCGTGGTTTCCCTCGGTCATAAGGCGAATGCTGGAATGATTCAAAAGTCCACGATCACCAATATCCTATCACCTCATAATCCATTGATAATAATAATAATAATAATAATAATAATAATAATAATAATAATAATAATAATAATATAATACAGCGGGGACAAAGTTGCTCGCGTCCGTGGTCTGTTACACGTGTCCCCTGGGTAACGCAAAATGAGCAAGAGTGATTCGCCCCCTTCTGGTCGTGCGGATCCCTACAAGCTGAGGGCGCCTCTTTACTGGGAATGGGAGGAAGGTGAACGCGACTACCTGTGGGTCCATAGGTGCCTACCGTCCCCGCGCGACTCCAAATGGCTAACATGCCAAGGGTGGGCGTTGGCTAACAACAACAACAACAACAACAACTTCATAATTGCAACCACTCACGCATCCATTCTCATCGATAAGCAGGGCTTGAATGTGGTGTGTAATTTCCTGCATTGATGTGGTATATTCATTAACACACTCGATGTCGGCGCCCAATCCAGCAAAAGTGAATGAAGCGAACACCGCAAGAAACGCCACGCGACGCGGAAGCCTCTCTGCAAGGGCTGGTGGGGCGTCGGAAAAAAAGGCAGTAATTTGGAAACATGGCAACACTGCCCTCTTTCAGAGCGAAGGGGAGGGAGGCAACCCTGTACCTCCTCCCCCTGACCCGGTGCCGGGACCCGGGAAGGCGGGGCTACCTGGAGTCCGTGACTCGACTTTTTTCCCGCCCATTCCTCCTCCAGTGAGCGCGGGCGAGCCGACTCCAAGGGGTGGGGGACGGGAGGGAGGTGAACGCGACTACCTGTGGGTCCGTGGGTGCCTACCGCCGCCGCCACCGCCGACGTTGCAAGACCTCGTGTCATCGGCGTTTAACCTCCTAATCCTGTGCTTGCAGCCCGCCCGCCCACCCTACTGTAGGGGTGTAAAAAGCATTGGCTCTCAGACCTCGAGTTGATTGAGTTGATGTGAAACTGAACGTATCCGGTCGGTTTGATACGTTCGTAACTTCTGAATGCGTTCTTCTGAATTCGATGCGTTCGTAATTTCTGCCTTGTTTATCTAGGTTCATTGGGTATATTGAATCCCAGAGTTGCAATTTTCGGGATGTGAGCAACTTAAGAAGACAGAATTTCAAAGTCTAGTTGGTAGTTCGCGTGGATAGCTTTTTTAAAGTTATATTTTGACTTACAATTTTTGTAATTTGTAATTAAAATTTACAATTGTTTCTTTTAACAATTGCGTTAATGATAATCTGTATTCGCACCGTGCATATTTCACACATTTTTACCAATGCCTTACACCTTTTTCAAATAGACATAAAAGCGAAACGAATAGTCATGGCATCCCCTCCCTCTCCTTGTAAAATTTACCTTCGCCGCCTTCTTTAATGTCACCTACACCTCGCGCCCACGCACCTACACCTCGAATGCTATTCTTGCGAAAATACATTAGGTATTTGCTTCCGACTGGTCAGCGCAACTTTCGATCTATCCTCCTACGTAAAATGTTATTTTAAAGTCATCCTACTGATGATTAGTTTCAGATGTTTCTTCGCATCATTTCCCATTTAATTATCATTTAGTGATTCTGTTTTGCCGTTGTGAACTGCCTTTAATGTTTGATCCTGAATATCATGTTTTTTTTTTTCTGATCGGTGAACTGATTCGAACGCTTCCTCATCCTCCCGTTGCCAACTCGTCTTTCTTCTCTTCTATGTGTATTCCAAAGCTCCCATCAGCACATGCTGATCACGTTTGGGCGGCGAGGGCGATGGTGGGGACGTGGGTGAGGATTTGAGAGTGACCGAGGAGGACTGCGTAGGCGACGGCGGGGGTGTGGGCGCGGGGCGGAGGCGCGAGCGTGGGTAAGGATGATGGCTGAGACTTGTGCAAGGGAGTGTGTGCAGGCGTGAGCGTGGGCGTGGGCGATCGCGGGCGGGCGAGGGCATGAACATGGGGGCGGATACGGGCGCGAGGGTTGGGGCGGCCGTGAGCGTGGGCGGGCGGGCGGGCGCGAACGCGGGGTCGGGCGTGGACGTGGAGGTGAGCGTGGGCGCGGGCTCAGGCGCGGCTCAGGAAGCGGCCGCCCCTCCGCCGGACGCCCTCGCCCGCCAGCGTGCGTGAGATCCGCCCGTAAATTCGGAGCCCTTTGACCCGGAACGACCCGCTGTTTCGTGTTGGCTTCACTACGCCGCGATGCTGTAAATTTCGGATCCTTTCCTCGGAATTCGTGCCCTTCGCTGGGGCCGAAGTGTTGAGGTGTATTCTTACCCCGTTTCGGAATCACTTTTGTAGGAGAAGTATTAACTTTTATGTTCGACTAGTGGACCCAGCAATGCTTTTCTGTTCAAATTATTACAGTTCCCAAGCTACTGGTCACGTGATTGATAATTATGTTTTACGTATACGCTCTGCAAACGTTTAATAGATAAATTACTTTCTCTTGAGTATGGGTTGGACATGGTTGTCAAGCATCTTATTGTTCAAACGTTCTCGCATTCGCTGTGACTGTATTGGAGAAATTTGATTTACTTGTCCGATAACGTTCTAGTAACAATTCCGGCCGATATTTCACAATCGCATGGGCAGAAATGCAGGAAGGATGTGCTTAATATTTGAGGGTGCGGGGAGTTGCGAAAAACTGGAGGGTTCTGCTCAGGGGCATTTGAGTCAACATAAACTCAACACCAACTCACGCCTATGTGGGACAGACATAAGCACATTCCCAATATACTATGCCTATATTCTTTGCGCAAGTGCAAGCATGAAGTTGATGAGGTTGTATCGCAATCGGATGAACGGTAGGGCAGTGCATAAAATACGAACAAGCACACAAACAAACAAACAAACCTTGCTTTTTATATTTTAGAGTAATGAACTACCGTATTCATTTGTAAGAAAGCGTCCCATTTCTTAGGCCACCACCAATCTAATCGTCGATATCTTTGGATGCTGTCACTGTCCCACACTGTCCCATGTTTACACTACATATTTTTTAATCGGAACAGAAACGTACGAGGAAAAGAGCAAAATTCCATTGACTCCGAATGAGTTATAATATATGTGTATCTGTCATGTCTTGTTACTAACAAAGTATCATTTCTATCATATCTTACCATCTAATGAAATCAGGTCACCACAGTCCGCCTCTCCCCATTAAGATAGGAAGTTTGACCAACAGAACGAATCTTCGCGAATCCCGTCGAGTATACAAGGACCTCGTTGAATCGTTTTGTAACCTCAATTCCTGATGTAATCTCTTCCTCCACCTGAGGCTCTCAACACGTGTCACCCATAAACCGAGTCGAGATCACCTTAATGCATTGTGAATGAAATGGCTCCAAGTTGCCAGCGTCAGTACGACTCCCCTACGTCCGCACTCCTGTCGTGTCCCTCATAAAACACAATGAAACGTAAAAAAGATTCATGCCGCCCACTCGTGACCACGCCCATCGGTCACGCAATCTTTTTATTTGTATTTTGCAACTCTCCAACATTTCTCTTCCACCCATGATACATGGTCACCTTCTCGCATACCCTCTCCTTACTGTACACTTGCCTTCTCGTACTACTGCGTGATTCTCAATAATTCTGCTTTTCGCCTTTAATTCTTTGTTTTCTTGCTCGCGGACGAAAAAACGCGAAGGACATATTGATGCAAATGCAGCAGACGCTGACGCTCAGAGACTCTCATTAAGTGGCGAAGCGGGGCTGTAGCCCATCTTTAACGTGATATCGCGGTCCTGGGACCCGTTCGCGTGACCCGTTCGTGAGGTTCTAATATTGAGGTTACTGAGCAGTGTGACGACCCGAATGGAGGCGGCAGTCATTTTGTTTTATTCTTGTCAGGTTAATGCGGTAAATCATTAAGAGGAAAGACGTAGAAGGAAAGAGGAAATAAAAATTGTTTTACAATAACAAGGTGGCTAAGTGGTTAATGCTGTGAATCGTTTGCCCATTTTAATAAGGATTTAAATTGGATCTCAATCCAGAAATTTATCTGTAGTAATCTAATCTCCCAGTGATTTTCTTATCCACTGGTATTTTTATGTACACAGTTGTGCAATAAAGTAAAAATCACAATTATTGAAAGTTTGAGATTACTCTCTTACTCGCTAAGCAGCTGCAGATACGATTCTGAATTATGTTAAAAAAACTGAAAATTGTTTCCTTTAATTCCATATTACTTTTTTTAAGAATGAATCTCGTGATGGGTCTTTTTGTTGCCGGTTACGTAGGCAGTGGCTTCTGGTTTCTCGCCTCGGGCAGTAGGTTCTCCGGCACGATATCCAATAAACACGAAACTGCCTTCCGCTGGCGAGCCTGCTGGCTGACGAGAAAAACAGTGTCTGTAGGTCGAAGGAGGCACCGCCGCTGCGGGCGACAGTCTTAGAGGGGAACCGATGCAAATGAACCGCGTTGAGCACCATGCGTGTGAAGAGTAAGAAGCTGTGGTGGAGGAGGGACTGGGAGGTCGGACATCACCAGCTCTGCCTCTGCACCTGCTTCTTCATTATAACGAATTAACTCAACCTGAGACGGATTGCGTCTATGGAGTTTTCAGAAGTTATATGCTGCATTCATACATTAGTTGGTGGGTATGTTTAATATTAGAAACGTGTCAGAACTTTCGAAGGAAATATGAAGGTGTATACTAGATATGGAATGAAACCGCAAAAGACGAAACCCCCTTATTGTTGAAATTCGGCTAAATAAGAAAACCGAGTGAAAAGGGATCTAATATTTGTAGACACGAACATAGTAAATTGTGGGCTATTTGAATGTCATTAGAACAATTAATAGGCAGGCTCTAATTATGAATAATAGTAAGAATGATGATGTTTTGGCAAGGAATATGATTACTGAGTATTGGATAACACAGCGGAACTTAGAAGGCAATACGAGAACAAACAGGCAGCAAATAAAAATATTGATAATTATCTGACTTCTAAAAGTCCAGAAAACAAATTCACGGCCAGGTCGTACCTACAACATGCACACACAATGAGTAAAAAATTAAATCTCTATAGAAACAGTAGGCAAATTGCAACTACGAAGCAACTGTTGCCTGCAGCAGTCGAAAATAAATGCGGGACGCGCTCTCTGCGGCGGGCTACCTTGGAGGGTCGTTCCGTCCGTGAGTTGCACACTCGATGCCATGGGGGTCCGCACCGTTCATAAATAATCGGCAACAGCTGCGCGTGGGACGCTCTGAAAGTAAATTAATTCGGACGCCGCTTCTCACGCCCGCGCCGCCGGGGCAATCGAAAGAATATTGATAGTTTGGACGTCGTCCTAACGTTCTGGGAACATCCACGCAGCCCCATCGAGCGCACTTCGCCGCCGCCGCCGCCGCCCACTTTCCGAGGCCACGCGCTTTCCGAGGTAGTAGCGTATATAATTCGAGGATAAATGTGATCGCAGCTGTAAGTTGTGCACATGAATGCTGGCAGCTAGTATGTTCAGAGTTCATGCGATATTTTGGTTATGTCTTTCTTCGCTGTTTGCGTTTCGAGCTCGTTCTCGGATCTTTTAAACTTCCATTTTGCTTTTCTCCTCTGCTGTCTTCGACGAGTGTTGTTCGTGAAGATTGGTTTTTCAGTTCTCAACAGTCTCTCTGTCATTCAAAATTAACGGGGTCTATTCAAATATATCCAAAAGAATTACAAGATGAATCAGTGTACTGTAATATTTTGCATTGTACTATCTTAACTGTTTTTTGTATATTTCTGTGATTAGGTACAATGTGAAATTTTCTGAACTAATTAACTACTATACATGTTTCATTCATATGATATAGAATTTCTTGTTTTTCTCAGATCGAAGCACTCATTGCCAGACAAATATTCTCCCCGAAATAATATCGTTTGTAAAAACCTTTGCATTATTCTTTAAGTTTCGCTTTATTATCGAGGTCAGTCAGTATCTGCGTTGGTAAATTTCTTCTATGAAAAAGTCTCCCTATGACTTTGCCTAACTTCACGCGACTTTATCCTCCTCGTCACGCGAATGGTTCCTCACTTTGCACTTTCTGTGTTTCTCCATCTCTCCTTACCTCCATTTCTTTCCTCACCCATCCTCATTTCCCTTCCCTCGTCCCTCCCGGTTCTCCGTTGCCCACTGCCCGCGCCGCCGGTCCGGGCCCCGTGGCCCCCCGCACGCCCCCTGTGCCCTACGCAGCCGCGCCCCGTGGCTCCATGCGGCGCATCCCGCGGCGGGTTGTTTGATGAATTATTCAGGCGATTTAGGTCAGATGTTTGTCCTCGGCAAACTTGCCAAGTTCGGCTGCACTCGCGGCCGCCGCCGCCGTGGCTGCGGCGCGAGGGAGGTCGGGAGCGAGAGGAACGCTTGACTACCCTGCGTGAGGCGAAATGAAGCGCGCTGCGTGACGCCCCTACCCCCGCCTATCGCTCCGCCCCGCGCTCCCCCTTCCCAGAACGAATCTCTGTTTTCTGGGATTATTTTAACCGCGAACGATGCCGAGCGGTTTCCGGAAATAATGACGAGAACGGAAGCGAGCGGGCAGTGGGTCGCGAGGACGCGGCGGAGGGCGGTCGCGGGGAACCGGAGCCCAGGGGACGCGGAGCGGCCGCGGAGGGGGCGGGGCTGTTTGCAGTCGGCGGGGAGACATCTGGACGGGTGGCGGCGGAGGGCGAGGCTCCGGCAAAGATAGCAAGCTGTGCTGCTTGTGCTGGGATGAAGTGATTGAAGAATTAAAACTTAAGTCGAGTACTTTTTGTCTTTACTAAAATAAGATTTTTGTGATTCTCCAATTACTTTTATGCGTTAATTATTATGCAATCTTACATTTTTAAATAAAATTTTTCGTCAAAACGTACAACTAGACATGTCCTAAAATGTAAATTTAAGCACTCGCTCTGGAACATAATTGCATTTTTTTATGAAAGCATCTTTCCAAAATAGTATAAAATGGATCAAAGATGAGGACATTTAATTGTCTGTGCCTTCGATTTGTTGACGGATAGAAGAAATTATATTTCGTAAAAATTGCCACCTAATGATAATATGCGACCTAATGATAATATGGTCTTTTTAGTTATTTAAAAAATGTAATGAAAATCGAAATTAGAAAAATTAGTAATTGCTGCAACAGGCGCGATATACAAAAACGAATGAAAGGTTTCATAATAATCAATAAGTCTTACGTTTGGAGTCGTATCGAACCACAAATTAATAAGATATTTATGGAGATATAATCTCTGGAATGATCTTCCTTCAAACAGCAACAAAAAAATATTTGTTTGTCAAGTTTAAAAGAGTAACAAAACACGAGAACACTTTTTCAATGTTTGGAGAATCGAGGTTTTTCGGTCAAGTGCATTCACTTTGCCTCAACATTATTGCGGTTTTCCCCATCACGAGACACATTTACTATTTCGGTGGACTCGCAACTTTGTTGCTGGTTTCCGAATAGAAATTAATGTAACCGTGGAATGGATCAAAGGTCTTGAGGATGGCAATGAGGCAGGATATCGCGCGGTCCGGGGCGCGTATTCTAGAGAGCTGCTCCGACATTCGCTTGAAAGTGAACAGGAGAAACGCATATCAGAGCAGACGACCTACGAATTTGATTCTTGCTGGCGCTACAAGCCTCACTGTTGTTAAAAACGTCATGTTAATTTCTGGCACCTTGCCAGAACAGGATCAAACTCGCGACCTCCTGGTACATTCGAACTATCAGACGAGCTTCTTTCACGCTCGCAGCCTCCGGCACTGATGTCAGTTTAAATGTATTGGGAAACATTACTTAAGCGATCACCAATGGTTGCGGCAAAATTGGCTGTTAAGGGAGGTGGCCGCATAATGAAGGTTGCGAAGTTACTGAAATTATCAATTACATATAATTTTGCTAGATGCTGTGAAATAAAGAATGTTGTCTTTACAATTTTTAATGGCCATAAATCACAACATAGTTATAAAATCAAAAAAAAATCTCCTCCACTTTTTCGCTTGTTATAATACAAATTTGAAAGAAAGAAAAACTGATTGAAGTGACCGTTTAATACAGGTCGATCTGCGGGAAGTGCCTGGTCGCTTGCCACGTGGCCGTTGAAAACAGGGAATATTTACTCGTGTCTTACGGAAAAATCAATCGGTGCGATGAAAAAAAAACGCGTTAGTTCGGGTGGCCGCTTAATTGAGGTGGCAGTTTAAGCAGGTTTCACTGTATTCTAAATCAGTTGTATAAAGTTAATATTACTGCAATGCTAGTTGCCCCTCCCAATCTCACCCCACCAATCCTCATGCAGGGCGCTTGAACCAGCGCGCCGCTCATGAGTCTCCATGGAGTGACCCGCCGGCAGCCCCTGGAGGCCCGGGGCCCGCGGAAATGAAATAAAGCGCTTTAATCTCGCCGTTTGGACATTAAATCCGATATTTATCCCCGCATGAAATGAGCGCTGTTGTCGCACTTATTTCCTCTTAATGGGCAGAGCCGCGAACGCGTAATGTAATATGATGCGCGTGATTCATGTGACAACGCGGGGCGCATCTATTATGCTGTAACAGTACCTTGGTGCTCGGAAAAAATACGGGCGGTGCGCGTTGCGGGTCGCTGTGTTGAGGGCAGCGGCGCGCCCGCGGCTCGGTCCGCGCCCACGCCCACGCCCTTGCGTCCACCCCCACCCCGCCCCGTCCACGTCCCCCTCGATGCAGGGGCGATCGTCTCGTGCCCCTTAGAGTAATTATTTTATATCATAAATATTATATTTGCCCGGTAGGTTTACGAGGAAGAGCGCTTATAAAAAATTGTGTTGGGTTCCGAAAAGCGTTTCATGTAGTTAGAGTAATTCATGTAACTTATTAATATGTCATTTTAAGAATTACAGCCGGTGATTATTATGTGTAGTAATGATTTCATCTTGGAGGTATTTTATGTTTGGCCACTATTTCCTCCCTGTAATAAAAATGAAGAATTATTAGAAGCTATAATTGTGAATTCTGCAAATATACAGATATTACTTGAAGTATTTAATTATTGATTTTCTCGACAGCGAGTTAATTTATTTTATTTATATAATTTAGTAGGTAACATTAGTTTTAAAGTACAAATGCAGATAAAATATTTGGACCTTGACTTCACAGACGAATTCCTTAGTTTGTTTAAACTATTCCAAAGTAGACCCACTCTTTTAAACACGTAAATGTGTAGTTGTTTTGATTTGTAAATAAGTCAATTTTAAACGTTAAACCCCCTTTTCCGATGTAGGAATAGTGCATTTAATTATGAAAACAATAAATATTGAATTCGGGTAATAGTTTGTGTTACCTCATCGGACAGTGCACTTTTAAGATTTATCATTAATTTGAGTTTTTTTACCGTACTACTACTACTATTGCTATGCATCCTTTTTTACGAGCATTTCTCCAAATTATAAAATAACTTTCCTATTCGGGCAAAATGCACCCCGAAATTTAAATATGAGAGTTAACAAATAGGTTGTTTGAAGTGTAGGATTTTAGAAAGATTATTTGATTTGATATAAATTGCATATTGTATGTTCTTCATTGTCATATTGAATTTGTTAACAATATAAAACGGACAACGAATGCTAATAGATACTTAAAGTCCATAATAATATATATTTAATATATATTAGATACTTAAGTCCGAATTGTCCCACAGTGCTATTTAGGATTACCTTTAAGCATCTACTTTTTGTAAAGACATTTAAAAACAATTTGTAAAGGAGACATAGGAGGTTCGTAAAATATTACGCTTATATTTTTAATACATCAGTATTGTAATACAATGAACATTTATTATCAAATTCCTAGTTTTTCACGGTTTTTAACATTACATTGCAGAGACCGCTGGGATCGATGCCACGTGCAGGTAATCTATTACAGCACGTGTATTCAGAGAAGGCCGCACTAAGGCTTCTTGCTCGTGACGTCCCACGAGAGAGCGCGCTTGCCTTCGCTGGTCTATTAACATATCGGTCGCTTGCCGGTGGCGCCACCCGTTTTCCACCCTGTGCTCCGCGCTCGTCATCGGCGACGGCCGCGTGCAGCTTCTGCGACGAGACGCTGCGGGAGCGAACGGAAGAGAATGTAATCCTTTCCAAGAATCAGTCAATGGCGCTGCCGGAAATGTTGAATTGAATAATGATTTAATAAAGTTTTACGTCGTTAAATTCATTTACATTCCAAAAGCATATAGATAAAAATATGCATATTATATATTTATGTTTGTTGTAAATCTTAATGTCTTGTATAATATAAATCTTATATAATACATGTTTGTCACACATCTTTTATACATCTTCTGTCGTCGGTCGAGATACATGGATGCTATATAAAAAACAAACATTTTAAAAATTACTGTTCTAATTGATGACAGTCTTGTTACTATTTAATCATCATACTAAATAATAAACAGCTTTAATCGCTTAGGAATATCTTCGTACGCTGTCTAAATTATTTTGTGTAATATTAATTAAATTGAAAATATATTTAAAGGTGTGTATAACCTTTAAATAACTATCGTACTGTTGGCACTAACATTTTATCGGTTTTCCAAATTGCTCAATTAGAATTTCTCAAAGGATTCCATGAAGCAGAACAGGGGAATAAGGAGAGTGAAGTATTTAAAGTTGTCTCTGGTCTCTCGATTCCCCTCAACAAACAGAGCACTTCCTTTACGATATAAGTCTGAAGGATGTGATGACGCCTTTCTAACCGAAAGCCATGGCCACAGCCACTGCAGCGCGGCGCTGGCAAGTCCCCCCGGCGTCGTTCGAGCGAGGGGGGCCGCGCGCGAACTAAACTGTCCCCATTGTTGCGGCGCTGTTCCGGAAGGGGCAAGCCGCGAGGGCGGGCGCGCAGGGGGCCGTGGAAGCGCGGAGAGAAGCGTGGGAAGGCGCGTGCCCGCAGGGCGAGGGCTGCCGCGCTGGTCGCGTGCCGCGTGCCCGGCTTCCTGTCACAACAGCCTCGGCGGCGGCGGCGGGGGCCTTTTAGCTAATCGCCCCTCCCCTCCCCTCCCCTCCCCTCCCCTCCTCTCCCTCCCTCCCTCCCGTCATCTGTTTCTCTCTGTCGGGCGTGCGCTTAGCCAACGCCCGCTACACGCGCAGAGGAGCCGAGAAAGCGAGAGGTCACGGCTACGCTCCGCGTTGAGTGCTCAACTCTCTGCCAGACAGCGCCGCCGCTTTTGTGCGGTGTTTCATTCATTGCCCGCTTTGGCTTGGCTGGAGTGCGATGAGAGCTTCAGCTTACGATGGTGCAAGAAATAAGGAAAGCTTCACAGAATGGAATTTTAGTGATTTGAATTTTAATTGCGTTATTTTTAATGAGTGTTCTAATACAATAGATGTTTTGTCTTCGTTTACTATTTGTATTCATCTATTTTAATATTT